GTTCTCCTTCAATCTTTCACTTTCTCTCTCTAGATGAGAGCTCACTCTCTTTCTCTAAAATATAATCTTACATTTTCGCACTCAAAAATGATTAAAGAATGGGTTAAAAGCTCTTAATAGCACACACACACATATGTATATATATATATATATATATTGTTAGGATTAGCTTAATACATTAATTAGAACATTGGGCTAATTAAACACAACTTAATTAATCAAATTGAATCAATTTTTAATCAAACTTTTCAAATGATTCTAAAAATTCCAATTATTCTATTCATGTAACCAATTTTGATTTTTGAAATCATTTAAGTCATCAATTTTGAATTTTATACAAAAATCATAATAGATAGTTTTCAAATCAAAAAGATATACACAAATTAATCACATGGCACATATCACAATTAAAAATTAACGCATAATTAAATTAATGTAATTATGATATGCAGGTTGGGGTTGTCACACATCTATTTCTAAACAACTTTGACCCATAACTCCATATACCAAAATGTAGAGCTCGACGAGGGCTTCAATTTTATCTAAGTGGATCGTTGTTTCATCGCCGATGATTTTTGGGTTGTCTTCTCTTCACTTCAAGATGTAGGGATTCTTTTGCTCCTCTTCAATACCTCTTTATGGATAGACATATGGTAGTTTTTATTGCATTCAAAAATATGTTTGTTAAGGGTTTAAGTTTTCGGAGTTGGAATTGTGTAATTGTTGGTTGATTTGATATGTTGGGAGGTTGTTAATCATGTCTATGTTGATTGTGGAACAAAGCCATAATTCGTTATTAAGGGTTCAATATTATAAAAATGGGTAGAGTTGGATAATAGGTGAGTTATGCGTTATGTGAATGAATTAGTTCCTTGGTTGCTAAAGACGGATTAATTGTGTTTGTTTGGTTATTGTTGCATTGTGCTAGTAAGTTGTTGTGTACAAAATTTTTGAAATTGTTAAACGAAAAGGGAAGTTGGTTAAGGATTGGAAGTGTTGAGGATTTGGAACAACAGGTCTAGTTTTGGAAACAAAATGAGATGTGTGTCACTTTTGTGAAATGAAAGAGGAAAATGGTTGTTTGTGAAATGATTTCATTGAAAATATTAATGTCTTGGAATTGTGGAACTTGTTGTGGAATTTAGTTCATAAGAGTATTGTATCTAACTGTTAGAGATTTTGTCCTCCAGTGGAGGATGACATTATTGTTGTTGAATAGATTATGTGTATGTTTACACTAGCGTAACATTTATGTATCTAGCTTGTTGTGATATTGTTTTGAGATCCATTTATCTCCGGTTAAACCAGTAAGTGTGGCACGAAGGAATTGATTACCATGAGACCTTCTCTCCGGTTTCTAAGAAGGACTCATTTCGAATAATCATGGGTTTAGTAGCTCATTTTGATTTGGAGTTACACCAAATGGATGCGAAAACGACTTTTCTTAATAGGGATCTTGAAGAAGAGGTAGCCTGAGGGATTTTCCTCAAAGGATAATCACTTGGTTTGTAAGTTGAAGAAATCTATATATGGACTTAAATAGGCCTCCCGCCAATGGTATTTAAAATTTCACAACATTGTTACTTCATTTGGGTTTATGAAGAACATTGTTGATAATTGTATATACCTTAAGGTTCGTGGGAGTAAATACATATTCTTAGTCCTGTATGTAGATGACATTCTACTTGCGAGTAGTAATTTGGGTTTGCTACATGAAACGAAAGAATTTCTTTCTGAAAACTTTGAAATGAAGGATATGGGTGAAGCCTCATATGTCATTGGCATACAGATTCACAGAGATAGATCTTGTAGAACATTGGGACTATCTCAGAAGGCCTACATTGAAAAAGTTTTGGAAAGATTTAACATGAAAGTCTTCTTCACCTTCTGTAGCACCTATTGTCAAAGGAGACAAATTTAGTCTAAATCAATCACCACAAAATGATTTGGAGAAAGAACAGATGAAAAACATACCTTATGCATCTGCAGTAGGTAGTCTCATGTATGCTCAGGTTTGTACAAGACCTGATATTGGGTTTGTGGTAGGAATGTTAGGCAAATATCAAAGTAATCCAGGCCTTGAGCACTAGAAAGCTGCTAAGAAGGTTATGAGGTATTTGCAAGGAACTAAGGACTACAAGCTTACATATAGATATGCAGATTCACTAGTGGTGATTGGATATTCAGATTCAGATTTTGCTAGATGTTCCGACACTAGAAGATCTACTTTAGGATATATATTTCTTCTTGCTGAAGGAGCTGTATCTTGGAGAAGTATCAAGCAGTCCATAACTGCTTCGTCTACTATGCAAGCGGAATTTGTTGCATGCTATGAAGCTACAACACAGGCCTTATGGTTAAGAAATTTTACCATAGGACTAAGTGTAGACACCCCATTTTTTATCGACCTTAAGACTCAGACGTCATCGATTGAGCGCTCGGTGATAGTGCATGTTGTGCTCATTCGAGTTTTCGGAGTTTTCGGCTGAGTGCCTTGCCTCTAGGCCTCTGAACTCTTTGTGCTTTGGCTCGGTTTGCGGACCAAGCCTTGTTTCCCTTCCTTAGAGGGAAGGAGTGGTCTGTTGACCACCTTTTTGTGGTCGTACACCACTTTTCGTGGTCGTAGACCATTTTTCCTGCTTGGAGACTAGTTTCCGATTTTTGGAGCCTTTGGCCGCGCGTCTTGTCTCGGGACCGCTTAATGTTCTCCGTTTGGCTTGGTTTTCGAACCATACCTTGTTGCCTTTGCCTAGAGGGACACTATGGTCCAGGAGACCACTTTTGTGGTCATAGACCACTTTTGATGCCCGTAGACTAGTTTTCAAGGCTCCCGGCCGCGCGCCTTGCCTCCCGGACTCTCGTCTTGCATCCCTTTTGGTTTGTTTTTGGTACAAACATTGTTTTCCTTGTTTGGAAGGTGGTACAAGGGTGGGAGACCAGTTCTTCCCCTTGGAGACCACTTTCCTCCCCGCTAACCAGTTTTCTGGTCGGCTAACTGGTGTTCTTGTTCTTTGGGCCACCTTTTCTTGTCGGCCACCACACCACTGCCTTGCTTTCATGCTGCTGACCATCTCCCACCATGGCCGACCACTTTCTCCCCTGGGAGACCACTTCCACTGGTCGGCCGACCAGTAGAAGTAGTTAGCCGACCACTTCAAGTGGTCGGCAGCTTTTCATCACCTTTTTGGAGATATTTTAGAGCCAGCCGTGCCAGCTGGAGGGCACAAAAGCCATCCTCCATATACGTGTATGGAGGGATGGCTTTAAGCCTAAAGCTTGTCTAACAAGCTTGAGCCTTGGTTCTCTATAAGAGAGAACCTCCCCCCTCCTCCTCCAGGTTCAGATTTTTGTGTTAGAGAGATATAGATACACATTTGTCTCTATCTTGCTCTTTGCTTCATATTTGTGCTTTAAAAGTGTAGTTGTATCACACTTTAACACACAAACACACACTCAAACACCATCCTTTTGTTGCTGAGGCTTCTTGAGGTTTGTTTTAGAGTTTTTGGACTGGTTTTGGTTAGAAAAAGCTGCTGGAGTTGTAGCTTCAAAGGTGTTCTTTAAGGGTGAGTCAACTAGCCCTTTAACCCTTGTTTTGGTTTAAGCTTTTGAACCTATTTGCATGCTGTTTTTTCCTTGAATTTAAACTACAAAAAGTTCTGTTTTTCAGTCTTTAACATGTTTGTTTAAGGTCTCTTTTATGTTGGGGGTGGTCTACCCCCTCTTAGGCCGTGTTAGGCCTTTTTTTGAGCCATCCCTTTTGGCTCTTATTTTAGCCTTTGCATGACCTTTCTACCACTGAATTCCAAAGGAATTTCAGTGGTGGAAATGGTGTTTTGAGGTCCCAAATAGGAGAGGGTCTCTCCTTGTGTCTTGTATGCTTGCTTCATATGCCTCATGTTTGAGCATGTTTGTTAAGCTTGTATTGGCCACATCTCAGCCTATTTTAGGCCTTATTTTAGCATGACATACCACTGTTTTGACTTGGTTTTGTCATCCCTTGCATGCATAATGCACTTGTAGTGTAATCCTCATAAACTAGCTTCGTATGTTTCAGAATGTATCATCATATAAATACCTTTGGGCTAAATATATAAGACACATTCTAACACCTATAAACAAGTCAACTAGCAAGAATGATTTATTAAGAAATTATCTCCTTTGGGTAGATAAATTCTTTCAAAAACAATAAAATTTCCCTTACTAGCGGCTCACACTACCTCTAAAATTAAAACACTCAATTAACCCCCTTTGGGTAGGTAATTGAGTGATATAATATTAGAAGAGCTTTCCAGAATCTTTATTGAAAAATCACTTTAAATCTCAAAGAGTTAACCACATCGGTAGTATTATCCACATTAAAAAAAAAAAAGATTCTTCAACTAGGACTACAAAAATAAATATTTGTCTACCTTTAAAACTTTATTTATTTATTAACAATAATGCAATCTGTAACCCAGTCTACATACATAGATTTATAAATGTACATTGGAAGTCTTGTTTCACATAATTCTTATTATATACAAAGCGTTTCATACAATTGATTGTCATATTTTTCAATGTGGATGCACAAGAAGTAGTTTCTTACTGATTCTTCTCATCTATGGAATTTATAGCTACAGCTTCCAAACCAACCAACAGTTTTTAAAATAAAAAAATTTACAACATAATGTTTGGTTCATTGAAAATAATTTTGGAGCCTGGGAGGTGTTTTGGGAGGGGAAGTATGAAAAATGCAAGGAAGTTAAGAAGAGGAAGCAATGTATTGTACAAAAACATACATCATCTCACTTTTTCTGGTATTGAGGACAAGATCTTAACAGTCTCAAAGTCCCAACCTCTTCAATTTTTTATTTATTTTTTGACAACCTGTAATACAATGGTAATTCATCCCACACCAAGCAAATAAAGGACAATTTGTCCAAATCAATACATGATCCTGGTTGCCATTGGGTTGGTTCGTAAGGGAAAAAAAAGAAGAGGCAGTAACAAACACAAAATTTGGTCACAACATAAATTTGATACTAAGATTTTTTTATTCCAATAACATTTCTAGAAAAAAATGAGAAACAAGTGTCATTCTCTCCAAATAAAAAAGAAGAAAAAAAATGAACAAAAAAAATTTGAACATCAACTCCCATCAAATACAAAATGAATTTTAATCCCCATCCACTATTATCAAGTATTGCCATTTGCTAGCTCCCATCCCTGAAGCTCACATCATCACCATTATCCACCCCATATAATTGTTGCATTGCATCAACCAAACTGCAAGCAGATAAGAAGTTAAAGAAGTCAATTTTAATTTGCATCAAACAAATACCATTCAAGCCATAAATAGATATTCCAGCTAGAGATATAAATCAATGGTAAGTTAGAAACCCAACAAAATATCAACTAACTCATAATAATCACAAACCCAACAAACGTATAAGCAGAATCATCACCACCCAAAAAGATTAAAACTAAGCGCCAAACCTCATTTATCTGTGAGATGTAAATGATAAATCCTCATATACAAGTCCTCATTAGGAAGTACCGAGGAAGGAAAGAAACCAAGTGCTGCTTATTAATTTAAACAAACTAGCATAGGAATAGTCTAGCTTAAGAAAGACATGGATGATATGATATCTAATGGGAAGCATCTACCTGAAAATTATATGTATCTTTAGCAAATAAAATTTACTAGTTGTCCTGCAATCAAACATTAATGTCATTGATGACAAAGAAGAATAAGCAGCAGCAGCAATGGCTGACTACTTTTCAATTTACACCCAACAGTAAAAGAGGAACTAAAATCAATCCGGAATTGGGTCTTGTCATTGATGACAAAAAGTAAAAATTAGCTAACACTAATGTGTTTCACTCCACATTAAAGACAATGAAAGGGTTAAATGGCCATTGGAAACAAACCATTTCCCCCAATTCCATCCAACTGCAAGACAAAAATTTTAAGAACAATTGAGGATTATCACCATCCAAAATGAAAATTCTAGCATTGAATCTCAAAACCCAGATCAAAATCTTCAAGAATTGTCAGAACACATCAAAATGAATCACACCCATAATATAAAAATCACAAATTTCAACAAATCATATACCGTTCAATTGACATAAATAAACAAATTTATATACATGAACGTTACACCACACCTAAACCACCTACCAGTGATAGCAAACAAACAAACACCCACAAATTCAAAATCAATTCAAAACAGATAAATTAGAAACAGGAAACAGGAAAGGAAAAAAAAACCTACAAACTTGATTAGTCATAAACAAAGATGAAAAAGAGAAAAATAAAGAAAACCCAAGAAAGAATGTGAGGGAAAATAGAAAAAAAATCACCTGGGATTTGGGTTGGACAGACAAGTGTGGGAATCGGCTCAGCCTCTCGCCGCCTCTCTCTGTTCGTCTGTCGCCGTCTCTCCTCACCTCGCTGGGAAATCGGCTCAGCCCTCTCCGTTCGTCGCCTCTGTCGTCCAGATCGTCGCCTCTCTGTTCATCTGTCTCAGAGGGGTTCAAAAGCGAAAAGGGGCTGAAAACCAAATAAGGAAAGAAAAAAAAAATAGTGAAAACGACGTCGTTTTTGCAGGCGGCAGGGAGGGCCGCAGGAAATAGCGGCAGATGATCCGGACTTGTAGTCAACAACCCAGAGGATTGCCCGGATGCAGTACCACCCTGCATCGCCAAGAGCGCCAAGTTCTGGCTTCACACGGATGTTGTTGTTGAGAAAGTCAGGGCCAGCATCGAAGGTAAAGATGCTGTGAATCTGTGGGAATCACAAGCAAAGATTAAGCAGTTTCGCTATGTGCAGCTCACAAGAAGTCTCTATTCTGTACATTTTTCTGTGCACAAATTCTATGAACCGTGTTTGTTTTTCTTTTTGAAAGTTGGTGTGATTCCACATAGGGCTGAGTAAGGAATCCGTGAAATCCGTAATCCGATCCAGTCCAGTCCAGTCCAATCCGATAGGTTTGAATTGGTTTTTTGAATCTGCAGTTCGGCTCCGGATTGAAGAATTAAAAATCCGTAGTTCACGGATTGGTTCCGGATTGGAACCGATCCGGACCATATACAAATAGTCTATATTTTTATTATACATCCTCCCTCATAGTATCTTCTCTTATTCTATATAAAATCTAAACTCAAACCTAAAACCGTATAATATCTTCTTTTATTACTTTTGTTTGTTAGTTTTGAGTTTTAATTTGTAATGGTCTAAATACATATGGTGAAACCAATTTTCTTATAGTTGTTTAAATTCTAGAACAGTATGTCGTTATTATAGAAAAACATATTGCTATTATGGAACTAATATAGCGCTATGTTTATATTTTTATGAAATTAAAGTGTTATATATATATTTTTGTTATTTAATTATGTGAATCCGTGGTCCTAAACTGATCCAATCCGTATTTAAATGAATTGGTTCGGAATGGTTTCATGATTTAAACGGATTGGATTGGTTTCAATTTTTCAGGAACTGTAAATAACGGATTGGTCCTAATTTTACCCCAATCCGATTCAATCCGGACCATGCTCACCCCTAATTCCACACAAACTAAGGCACATAAAGCACTAATAAGAAATCAACCATTTCATTCTCATGCATTTAAAAGAAGAGGCTCCTCTATATCACCAGATGAATTTCAACGGTTTTTTTCCCTCATCTCTTAAATGAAATTATGGTGGATATTATTTGAGATTTGGCTTTCTTATGTGAATCCATGTGAAATTTATCACATGATAAATATCACTTTACTTAAAAGGTAAGTAGACAAGAAAATTAAATCACATTTTAGGGAACACCAACAAGAAAGAAAATTGGAGAACCACAAAGATCCGAAAGTTGATTGTTATTCAATAAACCAAAAACTCAAACATACTATGCAACAATTTCCCCTCACACTTACAATAATATTCTCCTCATAAAAGAAAAAATATTAATCTTATGAAAAAAAAATTCAAAGAAAATATGATGTTTTATATACAACAATACCCAAGTCTCAATTGTGGGCAATAGTCTGGTACAATTTATTATTTGCATTTTTTTTTTTGTCTTATTTAGATTTCCCAACTAAAATTCATATTTTGTACCTACAGACAAGCTATAAAGCATGGACACCTCTCCGAAGACAGCATATGGGCATCCGACACATGTCGAACACGGACAACGCATCGGACACATGGTAGACACGTGTCCGACAATCTATGAGAGGTGTCTCCTTTTTATTTGAATTTTTTGTAGTCGAACACGTTCGGGACACGTTCGGCACACAATTCTGAACAAAACCCTAACCTGTTGGTCCACAAAGAGAGACAGAAGAGAAAGAAGGTGAAGAAGAACTTGAACATGTTGAGGCTCAAAAGTGTAAAGAACCAGTTGAAGCCCTAGATCAAGGTATGTCCTCCTTCGTTCTTCTTATTTGTTTCGTTTTTCTTCTTATTTCATCACTTCGAAGGTCGTCTCTCTCTCTCTCTCTCTCTCCCTTTGTGTGCTTTTTGTCTCTCTCTGTTGCAATTTGTCTCTCTCGCTCATAGATCGTCTCTCTCTGTCTCTCACATATCGTCTCTCTCTCTCTTTCTCTTACTTTTTATTTATTTTTTTTCTTTTTCTTCTCAAATTGAAAATACTTTTTTTTTTTTTTATAACAAAAACCCTACTTTTTTATTTATACATGAGGGCCTCTTTTTTCCCTCTTTTAATTTTTTCTATTTTTTTTTCAATTTTAGACATATAATAAATAAATAAAATTATATATATTAACGTGTCTCCAGCGTGTTGCGCCTCTTTTTCTATTGAAAATTTACGTGTCCGCATCCATGTCCGTATATGTGCTTTATAGAAGACAAGCCATCATGTCCTAATGGCACTCATAAATATTTGCAATTGTGCTAGATGCACAAAAGGAATCAAACACAAAATCCATATAGAGAGACTTTAGAGACATCAAGAGCATGTTTGGTTTGTCTCTCCAAACATGTTTTTGGAGAAAAAATTCCAAAGACATGCTTGGTTGAAAAAATTCCAAAAACATATTCCACGTAAGGGTGCCTCGTAGCAATAATCACTTTGCTTGGTTCTCATTTTTTAAAAACAGTTTTCAGAAAATTTTACACTCTTATTTTTCGTGTTTTTTATTTTTACTGAATTTTTATAATATTTTATGCAAATTTTTTACTTTTTAGACACACCTAACATAAATACACCTAAAAAGTAAAAAAATTGTAAAAAAAATCTTTTAAAAATTCACTAAATACCAAAAATACAAAAAAATACAAGAATTTAGTACATTTTTTATATTTTTATGTATTTCTTAATTTTTTTAAAATATTTTTTCACAATTTTTTTTACTTTTTAGACACATCTAAGTAAGGTGTATCTAAAAAAGTAAAAAAAATGTTTAAAATTTTAAAAATATTCACTAAAAACAAAAAAAATGAAAATCAAAAAACTTAATTTTTAAAAAACTTAATCCGAAAAACTCAAACCAAACACATTTTTTACTTTTTTTCTGACTGAGCCATTATGTTAGACATAACATGGGCAGCTCTACATACATTTGTGTGGGCTCAGATCATCTCAGTAGATTTTGAAAAAATCATTGAAAATTATATATATAATTAAGTAAAATTATATTTACTCTAATTAGCTTAGAGTAATTAATAAATCGTTTAAAAAGAAAAATCAATCATTTTTATATTCTAAACCGTGGGATCAAAATGTATCTCACATACATTTTTAAGACATTTTCAAAAACACTCTTGACTTATTATATAGATATATATTAACGGTTGAGATTTAAGAGAAACCGTCGGATCCCAAAAAAAAGGGTAAAGGGTAAGGTTAGGATTACCAAATTTTTCTACCAAATAATTGTGTGGTCACAAATTTATTTGGCAGAAAATTCGGAATTATAGCATTTTTCGAAGAGAAATGAGGGGAAATACCGATTTGAGTTGCCCAAAACGCAGCGGATCGGAGAGGAACTCTTTCATCTTAGCCGTCCGAGGATGGTGCATCCACATGGTAGCGTCCATGAACTGCACACCATTCGATTCACACGCCTCGAGAATCGTGTCAAGCTCCTTCACGTCCAGCGCCACCGGCTTCTCCAGCAACAGGTGCTTCTTCTTCTCGGCGGCTAAAACGGCCCACTTCAAGTGCAAGCTGGTCGGGAGAGGCACGTAAACGGCGTCGACTTCTGGATCGTCTAACACAGCTTCGTAGCTGCCGTAGACCTTAGCCGACGCCGGGAAGCCGTTTTCGGACGCGAATTTCGAGGCCTTGTCGATCGAACGGCTTCCAATGGCGGAGATGGAGGCATTTGGTGCGAGTCTAATTGCTCTTGATAGCATGCGTGCTATGGTAGCACACCCCAGTATTCCGAATCGGACAGGCGTTTCCGATATCGTTTCAGGCGATATAGCTTTTTCCCCCAAAACATAGTGAAATATGAACCTTATAATGCATGTGGGTTTTTTATGTTTTGCTGTTTTTTTTTACTCTTGGTTTTAAACTTCTTAAAAAACCCAAAACCTTTTAAAAAGTGAAAAATAAATAGCATGATTGTTTTGAAACTCACTATTTTAATTAATTTTTTTAATTTGTACAAAAATATATGTAGGGATAGGGAAAAAGAAAAAAAAAAAAAAAGAATTGTTGATTTTTTAATGCTATTTTTTTGAATTTTTAATTATATTAACTAGTTCTGAAACCTATGTTTGGATATGAGAAGAGTAAAGAAAAAGAAATGATTTAGTTCAATATAAAATAAAAAAGAAATGATTCGTTATATAAAGAAAGAAAATTTTTTCTCCTATTGAGAGAGAACAAAAATTATGATTACTCTCCAATCTTATTTGAATAGACTACGTAAAAGAAAATAATTAAAAAAAAATCTTATAAATTATAGTAGGGTAAATTATATTGATAATTTATTTTTATTTAATACAGATCTTTCTCTCACATTTGAAATTTGAAATTTTCCTTTTTGAGATTTGTAATCTCATTACAAATTGCCTTTTGAATTGCTGATATCATACTCTAAATTTTTTTAAATAACTATCTTATCCTTTTTTCTACCATTTATTTATTTTTATTATCGTGCTTACATTTTATAACTTTCCATTATTAAATTCTATCTTTTAAATATAACAATATCAATATTACAATATTTTTATGATTTTTTTTAATATAAATTTTTATATATGAATATAATTTTTTATTTTTAATTTCACCATTATATTTAGATTATATAACAATTCGAAAATTTAAATTGTCTAAATTTTATATTAGTATTATTTAATTATAAATAAGAAAATTTTTAAATATTTAATTAAATATTTCGTAAGAGTAAAGTAAAATATTAAATATTATTGGTGTATGCGATAAAGTGTAATTAAATTAGGGATTATATATATATAAAAAAAGAGGTATATAATTTGTTTAAGATTTGGATTAAAATAGAATTAAACTTAAAATTAAGCATTTTAAATAAGTATGAATTAATGACAAAGGAATGAAAATTAAACACGTGGGCAGCTTTGTGGCTTGGTCCCCACGCCTGTCTCACTATAAAAGATAGGTTTTGCTCAGGATTGCAACCAAAAATAAAATAAAATAAAATAAAGAAAAAAGGGAAATAAGGTCAAGTTTGGCATGATTGAAAAAAGATAAAAAGTCAAAAAGTCACTATCTTATTTAAGTCATATCACCTCTCTAGACCACACGAAAAGAAACTATCCACTAATAAACAGATCAATAAAAAAAACTTGAGACTAATTGAAATACTTATTTGTGAGATGAGATTTACTAATAAATATATTTTAATTCAACTTGTATTAAACAAATAAATAAATTGTACTAGCACAGAGCTAACTCAGAAGATAATTATAAATTTTAAACTCACCTATTTGACTATACGTTAAAAAAAAATTAAAAAATTTCGTAATTAAATTTAGGAAAAGTTACCCATAAATCCTAAATGTTGAACTTGTGTTCCATTTAGCCCTAAAAATTTTCTTTTGATCCATTTGGTCCTTCGTGTTGGAAAAAGACGGAGTTGCCACTGGTTTTTGTTGATTAGTGTTACAGTTGTGCTTGACGTGATGTTTTAGCCCTGGGTTTTAGAAGAATGTGCAACGGTCTGCGCGTGGTTTTGTGACACACAGTGTGAAAGTACACTAATGGTTTTTATTGTTTTTTATTGTTTTTGTTCTAGTGGGCTAATGAGAAGCGCGTGAAACACAAAACAATGGACCCTATTTTACCCGAATTCGACCCGTAAACACACGCAGAAAACGGGTTCGCGTATATGAGCCGTTCCCACTTTCAATGTGTGTTGTTGTTTGAAACCCTATTTTGTTAGGATTTACATTATTGATTCCCCCCAAAGCTGAAAAAATACCAAATTGAGCTTGGTTGTCGTCATTGTGTGGCATTTTGATTTTGGTTTTCGAAGAAGGTGCTGCAAGGGGACCACACCGTACGAGGGATTTGTTGCGTGTCGTTATTAGTGGTCGTTGTTGGAACGACGAAGGCGACAGGTTCTATATCACCCATCCATGTATACTGTTCATATGTTTTCGTGTGTTAGGGCAAAATATTTGGGGGTTTTTACGATTAGGATGTGTGTGTATGATCGTCGTGATACCTTTATTTGTTTTACCATGTTTGGTTTGTTGTTTGCAGTTTTACCATGTTTGGTTTGTTGTTTTACCCTGTTTTTACGATTAAGGTTTGTCTGTTGGTTTTGTATGTGTGGGTGTGTGACATCGTGGGTGTAAGCCGTAATGTTGTAATTGGAATTTCTTTTTATTGCGTTGGGTTGCAGTAGTTGTTTTTGGACTGTACGTTGGGGCCAAATGGAATTTGTGGTCCTCGTTTTGATGTGTGTATCTTTGGTGTGTGTTTTGTTGTATGTATGTTCACCAGTCTGGTTTGTAATGTGTGTGACGAGCTATTATGTGATTGGCTGGTATGCGTCATATATGTTCGTCATGATTAGGGTTTGTCGCTAGGTTTGTATCTCTGGTTGTGTGACATTACTTTGTTTGTAGTAGTTGTTGTTTTGTTATTCTTGTGTATTTTTGTCTTGTGTATTCATATCTAAGAACTTCTAGCACAACTGAAATCGGATTATGTACCTAGGACATCACATGAAAAACAGGTTGGGAAGCCTATAGATAGATAGATAGACATTAAATATGTGTGCTTGAGAGAGAGGGTGAAGGAGTTCAATACCTGGCATAAACTGCACAATGATTTTAGGCAGTCACCAAGTTTTAAAAATATTTTTAAATTTAAATCATATTTATTAATTATTTGCATTTAAACTTTTTTATTTAAAAGGACATTTATATATAAGTCTTAATTTATAAATTATATTCTATTAAGTCTTAATAAAGATTTTTTAAACCTTAAAGTCCCATTAAATTCTGAATAGTTGGAATTGTTCTTCAAATAATGATTATTCGTCATTTATAATTATCTATAAAGGAATATGATAATTTGACATTTATTTTGTTTTTCAAAACTTAAAACATCAACTTTCAAATTGAAAAAAAAAAAAAATTTATGTGCCAAAAAAAAAAAATTGAAAAAATTGAAAAAACTAAAAAAAAAAATATGTGCAAAAAAAAAACTAATTTTTTTTTTTGAAAAAAATTGAAAAAAACTAATTTTTTTTTTTTTTTTTGAAAAACAAAAAAAATTGTATTTATAAAGAAGCATGATAATGGAACGTTGATGTGCAAAACTTTAAATAAATAAATAAAAAAACCCTTTAAAAATGAAAAAAATGATAATATTTTCAGTTTTATTGGATAATTGAATCAAACCAATATGTAGAAGGGCAAAAACGTTTAATCTCATGCTCTGTTTTTTTTTTTCATCAATTAGTGAAACAATTATTTCGAATACTACTATGCAAAATTGATAATGTTTCTTAGTTTTTAAAAATTGGAAAAAACTGATAATATTATCAGTTTTACTAAATAGGGCTTATTGATTCAAAAAATCTTAAATAGAACCTGAGTTATCATAACATTTATAAATATGGCTTTTAGGTAATTAACTCTTATTTAAAATATAAGTTGCTTGAATATTCATTCTTGTAATTAAGGTTACTTTATCACCTTCCAGTCAATCAAAAAGGCCTAAGGCTTCTGCTAGGGGACCTGCTATTTCACATTTATTTTTTGCTGATGATCTTCTCCTCTTTGCCAAGGCTGACTCTAGGAATTGTGATACCATCATGGCTGTTTTAAATCAATTTAGCAACTGCTCGGGTTTGAAAATTAACATCGCTAAATCTATGTTGTTCATTTCTCCAAATGTGCCTACCTCTAAGGCTAGGAGTTTGAGTAGCAATTGTGGTGTTCCCTTCACCCATGATTTGGGTAAATACCTTGGTATACCACTGCTTCATAACAGAGTGAGCAGAGCACACTTTGCTTCCATTTTTGAAAAACTCTAGAACAGGTTGACTGGTTGGAAAGTGAATATGTTATCTATCGCAGGGAGGGCCACCCTCATTAATTCGGTTACCTCTGCCCTCCCAGCGTATATGATGCAATCTATGGACTTACCTGTGAGAGTGTGTAAGGACATGGATAAACTGAACAGGAATTTTTATGGGGTGATATGGGCACCTCCAAAAAGATTCATTTAGTGAATTGGGATACGGTGTGCAACAGTAAGAAATCTGGTGGGCTTGGCATTCGGAAGGCCAAGGATAGTAACATTGCTTTACTCTCTAAATTGGGTTGGAAACTCCTTAGTGGGGAGTCCTGTTTATGGGCTAAAGTTCTCCAAAATAAATACCTTTACAGGGACTCCCTGCTCAACTATTCTAGTAAGAGAAAAACTTCTCTCACTTGGAGGGGCATTCTTAAAACCCGTGACATTCTCGTCAAGGGTAGTAAATGGTGTAGTGGCAATGGTTCTAATGTATCCTTATGGCATGATTGGTGGTGTGGGGAGTGCAGTTTGGCCTCCTTATTTCCTAATTCTCACCTCATTAGCTCGGATAAAGTGGATACTCTCTTGGATGAAGAGGGTAGATGGAATGTGGGTGCTATATCTGTTAAGTTGCCTAGGGAAGCTTGGGATCTTGTTTTGAAGATTCAGCTTCCTAGGTTTGTAACTTACCCAGATATGCCTCATTGGAAGGGCTCGAGGTGTGGTGAGTTCAGTACTGCTGCGGCCTATGAATTGGTGACTGATTCGGGAGTGGTCTCTGGGAATTGGCGTTATGGAAATTGAAAATCCCTCAAAAACTCAAAGGCTTTGTTTGGCTGGCATTGCATCAGAAGTTGCTAACCAACAGCCTAAGAGTTACTAGAGGAATGTCAAACTCGGCCTTATGTAATAATTGTGGTGATCAGGTTGAAGACTTGAATCATATCTTCAGAAATTTTCCCAA